ACGAATTTGTTTTAAGATGAAACGTTCAAAGAATGTTTTCAAAATGTCCTCCTTCTTGTTTACGACACTCCCTGGCTCAAGAAATTACATTCACTGTAACCCTTCCTAACATTTCTGGAGTTATGTTATGCTATCAAATGCGACCGATATTCTCCGCTGTAGCTCTTGTACATCGAACATTGGAGTTACATAAATACGGTCTTTCACGTACGCCCAAACAAAAAAATTTAACGGTGTCAAGTCTGGTGATCGTGGGGGTCAGTTGACTGGACCGTGTGCTGAGATTAGTCTATCCCCATAAACATCACGTACGTGTTCAGTGACATCTCTAAAATTATGGGGAGGTGCGCCATCTTGCTGAAAATAAATATTTAATGTCACCGCAAGGGGTAAATCATCTAACGAGTCTTCAATTTCATTTCTTAGGAATTGTAAATATTGTTCAACAGTTCAGGCACCATGAAAAAAAAAACAGGTCCAATAATTCGCCTTCCTATCACTTGACAGACACAGACCTGTATCTGTTGTTCTGTCGGTTAAACATAGCATTATTTGAGAATCGTCACGCGTCAGTGAACAAAATTAAGTTAACTAAATTATTATTCCCGTCATGTTTATCTAACAGCCACTTATAATAAAGTTATCATGTCGATTATTTCGTGAATTTCTCATTTTCATTTCCAGTTTTCTCTAGAAAGAATGTGCAGGAAAGCGACGTCCCGGATAGCGACCTGCATACAATGCACGGATCTGTCGAGAGTTTTTTCTGCATTTCTCGTATATCAGAAATAAATCGACTTTTTCTCCATCGACAATCAGATAAAAATGTACAAACTGTCAGAATTTTCAATGATGTCGACTTGATGAATAGAAGCAAAGCCACCTAAGTAATATTTTGTTTTTATCAAAATATATTTACTTATCTGGTTTTTTCTTTTCTGTGAGCTTTTTTTTAACGGATTTTGATTTTTTTTGCTAAATTGTTGCAATAAAAGTACTGATTTTAAAAAGTTTTTGTTCACATTAGGGTGCTATTTGAAAAAACTAGGTTATCCTGAAAAATTAATAGTTCATTAAGTTAAATGCTATTTGTCATTAGACAAGTGAAGAAAAATTTCATTTACAATTTTTTCCACAATCAGGTGACCCGATAAATAGTATTTATGATGGTCACAGCCTCCTAGACATAAATTTCAAAAATTAAATAAAAAAAAAAGAGAAAAGCCGTCCTATCCTATGTAGAATGATCTCCTGAATCCAAAATTGCAAAAAAAAGTTGTGCCATTTAATATTCGAAAGTTACCGTCGTTTCTGTTCAAACCGGACTGACTACATATTGTCAAAAAATTGGACATTCGGCCTATATTAACGCTTCCAAAGTTCAAATCGCTATCGCAAGTCGTTTAAAAGTAATTATTTATTATTATTATTTTGGTTGAGGTATCATACCTATCTTTACTACGCGGAATATACAGGGTTTGCGCAACAAATAACTTTATTCATCTGCAAATATATTTAATTTTATGAATTGCGTACCCATAATGGTGGTGATAAAAATTTCAAAATTGTGCATTCGCATAACCGTACAGTGTAAATAATTCTTAAATCATTGAATATTAATTATACTAGTTTCCTTTTTGAGCAGTCGACTCTGTGTTCGAACGCAACCATAACCTTGATCTTTCGCGGCTGTTTTGACTGGCGTTTTTCTATTAACACCAGATGATACGATTTGTTCCACTTTGCCTTTTTCTTTGGGAAAACCTGTTTGGTTCGGCCCGTGTGTACCTACGGCAATTATAATTATTGTGCGTGTATCAGACACCGCCACCGAAACGCTAAAACTAATTTTAAGCGTCTGCTATACTTCGAAACCTACAATTTTCTTTTCCAAGGCTTTCCGAGACATGCATATTGCAATTATTTATAGTAACAACGCTATTCTATTTACATTTTACAATGCGATATCGTAGAGTGGAAAAGTCGCATGCGTATTATAACTAATGGGTGTAATTTGTAATATATATATTTTTTAAACACGATATTGTTATTAATGAACTTGGTTGTCATATTTTCTTTTTTCTATCAATATATCCTGCATATCTTTTTAAGATACACTGTGATTTTGTTATAATAAACTTACCTATACATCATTTTCACACTTGTTGGCAAAAGATCCTATAACAACTACTTCTTGGATGTAATAATAAAACTGTCAAAAACCCCGACGCTAAACCGCAAAATGTACTTCATTAAATTGCCACGTGTGAGAGAAATGATCACAAATTCCCACTTAAAATTATTACTAATTTTAAATTAAAAAAATTTAATATTAAAGACATAACAAAAAGAAAAAAACAAGAAGAAAAATTATAGACCTTAGTGAAAACATAATTTCCTTCAAGCTTCTTCTAAAATAGTGCATATTTGAGAGCCTAGCCTAATTTTATTATTATAAAACTTATATTTATTATAAATTGCTTTTTATTAGCAAGAATAAGCACTAATTTCCCCATATAGCAATGAAAGTCCGCTTATTTCCTTAAAATATTCCTGGAATTGTTCGGAATTCCACTGTAAGTGGTTGGAAGCTTTCTGAAATATCTTCTTGTTATACACCATTTACATACACCTTTGTTAAAAAAAAAACATTTCTAGAAAACCAATTTTGCCACACAAAATACCAAAATAAGCAAACTCATAAGAGGTTCTGCAGTAAGAAAATAAACCGTTATCAAAATGTACTCAACTCGCTTCAATTGAGATTTGAATTCAATTAATTGTAATCAAAAAAAGTTAACAGAGCCCGTATTGAATTGATTTCCGCAAGCAATCTTGCAATTGGTTCATTACAACCATAATTAGTTTAGACAGGAAGATGGAGACTCAACGAATGATATCAGATCCGGACGTTCGATGTGGTCATTAATCAATTTGTATCAAAAAATTAAGTTACATTCAAATCTTTTTTCCTTAGAGTGGTTAAGATGCTGAACACTACTCCAAATTAATCCCATCAATGAACAATACTACATTTTATAAGCTTATTAGCAGAAATATTTTAATTATTAGTGGATTTCTGATATCTAGGAGGCACTATTTTTCACTACTTAAAATATATTTAATTTCTTATGTTTTGAAGTTTTGTGATTTGTGGGATTTGGGAGATATTATTACATGTTCAGAGGCCAACAAATTAGAGGATTTCATTATTAAAAAGAACATTTTAAGTTGTTTTATTTCTTTTAAAATATCATTCATTATCGTTATTCAAAACTGAATTCTATTTACCTTTCCCTGTTCATTTTAAACCCATTTAATCAACAAACTATGGTTTAAAATAGAAAAATATGGGCGTGAAAGGCTTGCCTGAACAACAATGAATTTGCACGGCTGAGAAGTAATTGACAATAAAAAATAATGAAGCTCGACCCGATTGGAGTCCCACTTGCAATCAATTAAATTTATTGAAATATTTCTGGCATATACTGAGAGTAATTAGTTCAGGAAACGATACTTTGCGTTGTGTCATTGGATGCCTATTGTTGCTAGTTAAAATAAGTTTGTGGAATCAATTCACTAGACCGGTAAAATAAGAGTCAAATAAATATTTGATGTGCTGACATATATTTTACAAATCAGACAGTAATCGGATTATACGGAAACTTCCATTATTATCTCCCCTATGATCAAGTCGTTTTGGGTGGCGCCTAAACCAAATCTAGTATTACAAAAATATTTTGGAACTGATGTGAATGTTTAAGAGTTTCACTTCAGAAGGCTTGTGTGATTCTGGCAAACATTTAATTCAATCCGATTTATACTACACATGTAGGATTGTTTATCGTTAGTTTATGGTTCTGAGGAAATAAACACAGTCCGACGTTCTGGCAAATTAAGTAAGACTATATTTTCACTTATCTACGCAGCGCAAAAGAACTTCTTTTACACTTGGCATGGACAACAATTCGTCCACCCGTCTTTCGTCTAACAATTCGTGTACTCGTCATTCGTCTTATTAAAGAAAAAGAGTAAGCGGCACGGCTTTCCGCGTTACCCACGTCTTTTGCGTCTTTTTAGTTTAATCGACTAATACATAATGTCCCTGGTCAAGTGTCGTGACCTGCTTTTAAACCCTTCGTCGGTACGCATCAAAAATAGACCCGAACTTTCAGGAAACACCGCAAAGCGGCTTGCTCTTGTGATCGGCTCACGTCCGTTAAAAGAAGTAATGTAAACATAACCCTTTATAATTGAATGCAGAAATAATAAATAAACAAATACCGCGTTGGCGAAAACTAAACTAAACGATATATTTTATCTACATAAAATATATTTTTGTCTATATCTGCGGTATGATATTTCTTTAATTAACAAAGTTTTCGAAAAAAGCAACGGCTTCGATAGAAAAAACAACTGCCACTGTATTCCACAACTGTATTCTATAAATTTAAAACTCGAAAATAAAATAACAAATATTAAATATACACGAATCACTACCATTTAACTTTCTTTAACGGTATAATTAAATTGTTGTTTTTTTATTCGAGTTTCTTATGGCAAGTGTAAACAAAGTATTAATTATCGCTCACAAGAGATACATAAAAAATACAAGTGATACCCACAGTACTTCTTACCCTTCGTTACCTAATATGTCGGTATCGTTTCTAATTCTGTTTGTATAAAGTCCTTATGCAGTGCCCAACAAAGCGTAGCATTAATCAAAAGTTTTTTGATTTGAAAAGCGGTCATTAACTTTGATAGCTGTATTTTTCATGTCGAAGCAGATGTTTGAGAAACGATCCTATCCCGATTTGTAGACGCAAAGCCTTTAATAATACAGATTGTGGGTTTTGGGGCAGAGACTGAGGTGACCCAAATTATAATATGAATAGCTTCCTTTTTGGCGGTAACTAGAACAGTCGATAGCATGGTTTTTTTTCTTTTTTAAACGTCAGAGCGTCTTTTATGGGAAAGTGATGACCTATTTATTGTTTCAGGAGGCAACATCAAAGCACAGCCACCAACTCGGGCAACACCACTTGGCACGGGAGTCCCTTAGGCGGTGGTGGCACGACCGTAGAGTCGCAAGATGATCAGCATGTCCTCAAACCAACACCGGATCGACTCAAAGGCACCACGTGCGATCTGTTTGAGTTGCTGGAGAAGGCCCAGCGATCCAGGTTAGATGACCAGAGATGCGTCATGCCTTCGACATTTAACCAGGCAAGTGAATTTTATAAAAATGTTCCCTCGTTCAGCCTGTTTCCGAAATATATTGCAAAAAATATAGGCTAAGAAATTAGTTTTAAACCATGGTGCAAGTGCCTACAGTGACCAGTTGTTTTTGGCAAATAGCAAAAAAAATACACTTTTTAATCAGCCGCAGCAATATTTATTGTGATTTTGCCCCACGCCAAAAAGGAAGGACCGAGATGTTCAGGAAATGGTTGCAATTTACTCGCAATAATCTTGATAAAATAAATAGATAATTTATGTACTTTCTTACGTGAAGTTCACTTCACTGTATGTAAACATTGTTTTAATATTGACTTATCAACTTTTAAAGTTGTTATTCCGACCATTTACACCATATTTTCTAAATCAAAATCGTCATTTTTTTTAGACAATAATATGATAACATTTTCTAAGAGTCCAGTTAAATGATCATTGAACATGACACTTTTCAAACTACTTCTCTGTTGGTGTTCAAACACATCCTGGCTATATAAATGATGTTTCTAAAAAAAGGATTGATTTTGCGGACATACCTGCACACACTAAGCAGCACTTTGCTCCATTTTCTTTCTGAACAGAACTCTTAACGCGTTTTTTCAGAACACCTAAGCAGATCTGAGCATATTTTGAGAAAAACTGCCGTAAAAATACACCTAAACTGAAACCTGTCGAACTGACGAACTGTCGGCAGCCATATTGGTTGCTGAACGCCGCTAGGTCTTATTTGTCCGTTTTAAATGACAGTCCGTATTGCTTGAAAGCTAGATTTCAAGTGACCGCGCCTGCGCATAATGAATCAATATTGTGTGATCAGCATAGGCATCACGGCCTGTAAATACATATCTACTAGCTATATAGCTTTACGTGTCCCTAAAATTTTTAATATAAAAATCTATGGAAACAAATTATCATCATCCGTGATCAGTCCAGCCACACACACACACTGCTCGTCAGATCTTGTCTGTGTGACTGAGCCTTTAAGGGCTCTTGTGCTCTTTCATTTCATCAAAAAAATGAATAGAAACGTAAATAACTGCGAAGTGCGTGTGCTCCAAGGGACGCATTGTTCGTCGTCTCGTAATTTTTGCGACGCCGGTCCGGGAAGATTTTCAATTATTTATTTACATCGGTCCTGCGTTTGTGGTGACTTTTCGGCGCCCCGAGGGCTTGCGATATTGGACTATTCTTTTTTTGCCGAACAGTCGCCTATTTGCTATTGCTTTAGTGTTTTTTGTGGATTCCAATTACCCACGCCGCAACTATTGTTTGAATGGAAGGTGCTCACCAGGTTCGTTGAAAATTTTATTACTTCAGTTGGTCTTTATTATACACTGTAAAATTATAAGTAAGTAAAATTTAGTAGGTAATTTCCAAGTTCCAAAAAGCGGCGTGTCAGGAATTTAATACCTATTGGAAGTTGCTCTAAGTTTCCACTTAATATTAAAAAAAGTCAGGCTAAGTGTTAAAAAAGTTTTTTAATCCATTATGACTAAAAAATGTTGTCTCGAACTCCCTATACTTTACAATATTGAAAATCGGTATATATATTTTGAAGTGATCCCTGAGAAGAATCCATTAACAACTTTTTTATAAAAAAAAATTGAATAGTGTTTTTTCAAATTTTGACTAATAAATGCGGTTGCAGTTGGGCGAGATCACGGTCAAAAAGAAATATTTCCAGCTCTCTGAATGAGCAATTGGAATACCTAATTGACTAAAATTTATCAAAATTAATCAATTTTAAAGTGGACATTCTGTAAAACATACGCTTCGTGTCTGTATAGTACTTTAAGCACTAACTAGCCAAATTCAATATGGCATTGTTATTCTGAAAAAACGTTTTCCATTTGTAGCAATCGACTTTGAGTGTGCCCATCTCGTGAGAAACACTATATTTTTTTGGTTACAAATCTGTATGATGCTGTCGTTTAATTTTATGCTCGCTGTTGTTGCCAAAATTGTATTTGACCCAATTTTCAAAGCATTGAAATAAGCCTCGTTTTAGCTTCAGTTTAAATCTGCCTCAAGGTGAAGTCAAAAATGAGTCATACAAATATACAATTTTTTCTTTGTATGCGTTTAACATATTCAGGTAGAGATTATTCAAGAGTCGACTTATAAAATAGAGTTGTCAGTATGTTCTTATCAAGACTTACAGTCTTAAACTGAAGGCGCAGATAGTATTTTGATAGATTTTTTCCCATCATTGAATATTTGCTATTGCTTACTGAATAATTGTTTACGTATAAACCGTTTACTAGTTTTACTGCATTTCGTGCTTATTTCGTCTGGGGTTTAGCCCCATCTGCCGCCCGATAGGAAAATTATCTTCGGCTTTCAACGCGTTTAGAGGGCAAAAAGACCAACTTTATAGATACATGCTGTTCTTGTTTGCTAATCTTGGGAGTTTTTAGTTTTCATTAATTCGGGGAGGTTATTATTCACATTTTTACAGGAATAAAATTTAGTTAACAACTTTATCCCAGTTGGTATAGTTCAACTAATGTCAAACCGGGAAAGTTCTAATGGGATTCGTTATCTAGTTGTTGATAACGAATTGCTCTGCAGTTTGTATATTTCAAAATGCATTCGTATATATTCGGTCCAGTCAGGAACGAAAATTTCTGGAATTTTATATACACTTTAACCCGTAAGAGTTTTCGGAAACGTGGAAAACTTTCCCGGCGTCGGGCGCGTCGACATCGCGTCGCTCCATAATACGTTTTCTGGAATTATTGCTTCGTATACTTTTGTATACTCTTCGAGGGTTATATATCGATGCTGTTGGGAATCCGAATAGAAATTTACGTTCACATGTTCAAATGCTCTTCGTAAAAGTACAGGTAATGGATTTTGGATTTCTTGTTTTTTTTTATCGTAAAATATTCGGCTTCCATTTGCGGGTTTTTAAGTATTTCGATAAAAGTAATTATAATTATGCGGTTTAATATCCAAACTCATTTACTGCTTTAGCTTGATAAGTCACTCAAATATGTGTTGGTACTTTTGCGATTTGCGAGGTGATTTTGCTGGACAGCGTGTTAAATAAACTGTTAAATAACTGTTAAATGTCAGCTCCCATGAGTACGGTGAGCTAAACAGAAGATAAAAAATAGTCCGTCCTAAAATTGAGTTTTATAAAATTTCTATATATGTTTTCAAAAAAAAAAAAAACATGATTATTAAAGAAACATTTATTTGCCTTACCATCTTTTTTCAAAATTAAATATTTTTGTTTGTACGATTCGATTGGCTGGAACTAAATTACTTTATACCCATTCTATCGCCACTACTAACTGTTTGTCGTTCGTAAAGGTTTGCTGATATTGCTTATATATAATTTAGACCACAATAATAAAAATAATTCTGATCCAGTCAGAAAATAATGATTGGTATTCGTAGTAGGGCTGTAGTATGTACGTACGAAACATGAAAAACAATCAGTGGTCGATGAAGGTTTCTTAATTAAATTGTTTGGAAAATTAAGATGGAAATTGCAATAATTAAAAACGACAGTCAACAATGAATTGGAACTAAAACCGTCCTAATTATCTTCTCAATTTCAACCTACTTTTGTGTATTCTTATTAAAATACACAAAAGGCGTAGTATGACTTGCTAAATCTCGCAAGCAGTTATTGCGGTTGCGAACCACCTACGATTCGTGCGATAGCTTTGATAAATGAGCGGAAATAGTAATGCGTTTTTCGATCGAAGGTTGTAGAGATGTAATGTGAGATTTACGATTGCTCGTGTGTAACAATATAATAATCTCGATAATAATTCAAAATCGTCAAAGAATTCTCCAAATATCCAAAAAGTTGTTCACATATCTTCTTGAGTCTAAAATCATTGGAATTTTTACCCAACTTTTTGAATTTAAATAAATATGGGTATTATTTTAGCGACTGTTTTTTTATAATTTGACATTTTTTGAAAATTGACTGGTATCGGAATTTACTGAATTCCACCTTCTACACAAAAGTTAACACCAAAATGAAATATGAAATGAGTTCATTATAATTATTATATATATTTATACACATTATATAAATAATGATATCTTTAAATTTTGATTGATAAAAAATATGTTATTTAAGTATGCCATTTCGGTAAATTTAAACATTTAATAATTCATGTCACAATATTTAATTAAATAGTCTATATATGATGTTTATCGCAGCGAAAACTTCTGTTGTTTTACATGTAAATAAAATTATGCATTTCAAAAATAGGCATTTGGTCCCTTTTTAACAAGAAAACTAAAAAATTAAGGTTAACTACACTACCGCTCTTCTTCGCTCCAACAAACGAAATGTCTTAAATATTTTATTTATTTAGTACGGTCCTGATCGGAGGTGTTGTTGTTAGCGTAATTACAGTACGTTTTTGCTGGGCGAACGCTATTGGTTGTCGATTGTGAAAAAAAAATGTTCCGAGTGTAATTAATTCTTTTGAAGTGTACTGGCAATGACGATTGGATTTTTTGATATCTTCATTATTTGGACACAAAGAAGCCACAATAGCGTCGTCTGGCCAAGTGACTCTTCGGCGAATATTCCACGAAGTGATTGCGGTTTCATTATATACTCGGCTGTTGTTGTCGAGTAATTTGTTAATTGTATATCATAAATCCCCCGCTGCTGATTGAGTATATAGACATTCTGGAGTAGTCTAAAATTCGGGAATTTCAATTAGTTGTTTGTTTAAATGATTTTAGTTACAGTTTACCAAATTTTGAACATTTTGTTATTTCGCTTTAAACTTCTCATAAATACCAAAGAAAAACGTTATGATTTTCACAAAATTAGTTTCCAAATTGTTGTTAAGCATTCATTGGTTAGTTTTTCAACGAAAACTCCAGCTTTACCCATTAAGTTAAGTAGAGAAAACACTATTTTCGGGGATTTCTTAAATTTTGTTTTGTAGCTCTTGAAACTCACTCCCCCTTCGATTTCTCCGAGTTACGTTGAAACTTATTGTGTCACT